CCTAGAATCATATTAGTACATCAGGTTTCATAGAGCTAAAACATTTCAAGTGCTACTCAACTGGCTTTAGATAAGCCAGTCCTTTTTTAGTATATAAGTGCTTTGTTAGTAATTCTATCGATCGAAGTGGAGTCGAAAGAGATGAGTTTTCAGTTTGCGCCGGAAGATGTGTAAGCTTTCTGCTGTCCTGATTTCAATGGGGAGCTCATTCCACCATTTTGGAGCCAGGATAGCAAACCCACGTGGCTAAAGACTGATCAGAGCGAGTTTGTGTACAGAGAGAAGAGGAGGGGACCAAGAACAGAGCCCTGAGGGACCCCTGTAGTTAATTGACAAGGGTCGGACTCGGACCCTCTCCAAGTTACCCTGTAGATGCGGTCTTTGAGGTATGAGGTGAGGAGGGAAAGTGCAGAGCCTGAAACTCCAAGTTCTCGGAGAGTGCGAAGGAGGATCTGATGATTCACCTAGTTTATAACATCGGGCGGGTTGAGAGTGGGTTTCTTTAGGAGAGGGTTTACTCTTGCCTCCTTGAGACTGTTTTGGAAAGTGACCAGAAGTTAGAGGGCATATCCACCCTGATCATTATCCATCACACATCCTCTGTTTTATTTATTTCATTTTCGATATACTGTATTGTCTTGTTTATGTCTCTTATGCTGGTGTTATGTATTAGGTATTTTTTTTTTGTGTGTGTTTGTACGGCGACCTTGTGAGCCTTGAAAGGCGCCTATATAAAATAAATGAATTATTATTATTATTAGTTTGTAATTGTTTCTACATACGTTTTGACCAAAAACGGTGTGATTGGATAACAACAACAAATCTTGTCCCTGAACCGTATATATTTACATGGAATAGAAAAAGAAAAGGTTTCATCTGTAATTCTGTAGTTGCCTGTTGTTAAAGCTTATTTTCTTCTCAGCTGGTGCTGTTTGGGCTCAGTAACCAGATGGTGGTGACGTTTAAGGAAGAGAACACGGCGGCGTTCAAACACCTTTTCCTGCAGGAATTTCAGGACGGAGCTGCTCAGAGCGTGCACACACAGAAGGAGCTCTACAGCCGCATTCACTACGCTGTCCAGCAGGTACTCTCATGATTACACAAATACCAATTTATTACACAGTCATTATGTATCAGTCAGTGGTGGAATGTAATGAAACGCCTCCATTGGATTCCTTTGTTTACTTCCGGAAGATAGTGACATCACAAGGTAACACAAGCGCAGCTATTGGCTAGTTCTCCATCACATTGTACGTGATATACATGGGACATCTCTAAGCGGTTAACCAATCACAACAGAGCAGGCCAGCTAACCAATCAGAGCAGACTGGCCTTGTTAGGCTATAAAGGAACTACAGCACGGTCACATGACTTCACGTCGCCATCGCTAAGCTAAAGGCGGCTAATGTTGGGCTATAAAGGAACTACAGCACGGTCACAAGAATTCGCGTCACCATCGCTAAGCTAAAGGCGGCTAATGTTGGGCTATAAAGGAACTACAGCACGGTCACAAGAATTCGCGTCACCACCGCTAAGCTAAAGGCGGCTAATGTTGGGCTATAAAGGAACTACAGCACGGTCACATGACTTCACGTCGCCACCGCTAAGCTAAAGGCGGCTAATGTTGGGCGTGATGACGTTTAGTCGTCTCATTTAGACACTTGTTAGCAACCAGTTTTTAAATTCACCAGTGGGGTATAGAACAAAACGTTAACATCACTTCAACTTGCACAGACCTTTTTATCAGGCAGCTAACACATTTAAAATACATTGACATAAAGATAAGAGAACAGGACGTGCTGAAATGCCAACTCATTTCCAGGTTTTAGTTCCTGCAGCACTGCCTCATGTAGACTTGTACTCCTCTCCTCTCTCTCCCCCTGCAGTACATGGCTCTCCCTCAGATCTCTCTTGGTCAGTATGCCTATGTTCTGGGTGCCGGTGAAAATGGAAGTGCGCTGTCCCTCTGCCAGAGGTTCTACAGGAAGGGAACCATCGACCCCTCCAACGACACCTTCAACATCGATCCGCATGTGGACACCGGTAGGAGGAACTTGATCCTTCTCTCCTTAGTGTTCATTGTATCCACTGAGTGGTGCAGGGATGAGTCATACATTCTGAAAGTGATTCAGCATTTTAGGTTTTCCTTGTTCTCTTGTGTAGTGTTCAATGGTTTTTTGAATGTCTTTTTGTTTGGTAGCCTGAAATAAGGTCTGTGGGTAACATAAGCCAAAGAAATGGTTGTTCTACGACATAAAATATGTCAGTAAATACCCCACTCGTGAATTTAGAAAAGGTGGTTGCTAACAATTGATTAAATGAGACAATTAAACGTCATCACGCCCAACATTAGCCACCTTTAGCTTAGCGATGGTGACGTGAAGTCATGTGACCGTGCTG